TTGAGGTTTTTAGTGAAATGATTAAACAATTATTGGAAGGATTACGAATAAAGTTGGCACATATTCATGTTCCATGTCTTCTGAACGTATCATGTAGGACCTAAATCAAATTGTAAATTTGTCCAATGTATTCTTTTATAGACCGAATACCTTGAAAACAAGCTACGTTCAAACCATAAACTGTATAAAAGAAGCATGATATGCCGCGTAACTTCATGCTGTGTTGACAAAGTTTTGAATTCTTGTGTTTGGCATTTCAGTTTCCGCACATGTTGTTTTTGTTTTTGTTTTGGCTAGGAGTGTCCATTCAGGGACAACCATGGACACACCCAGTGGCCCACTACAAAACAAACACTTCTTTGACACTCATGTTTGACAAAATTACCAAATGAATATCTTGTTGTAATGTGAAAGACCAGATTATAAAGATTGAGATTTAAGATAAAAAACGTTTACTGAGATAAAAATCAAGTGATAAATAAGCAATGTTTTCTCATTCTTGTTCCATTCAATTTAACTTCTATTTTTGCAAAAGCTGGTCATTGGAAATAATACAGTTCTAAAGCTCTTCAACATAATTTACTTCCCCTTTTTCACCAATGGACTATGTGCACTTCTTATAGACAGTCCATGAGCCAAAGAAAGCACATGCTAGCAAGCTAAACAGTTAAATTAAAATGGTGGACATGCTTAGCCTGTACCTGCTTAGCATAGCATGATGATGGTAGCAAATGGACAGTCACTCTTAGCTGTTCGCATGGTAGACTTGTGTTATGTAACAAAAGAAAACAGTGGATTGAGTTGAAGTCTGTTGTGTGTGTGAGTGTGTTTGTAACTTAAACTTAAACTGTCAGTCATAATGAAGCTAAAACGTGTAAACACAATCTTATTCAGGAAACTCTTTGGAGTAAGATGTCCCTCTTGTTCTTAGTCATTGTTGTATGTTTGGCATAATCACCTACTTCCTCATAAACTCTAGTGAGCAGGGGTTTTCTCAGGAGAGACCAAGTACTACAACAGATTAGCTTGCAGTTCTTGGAAAAAGTCGTTCCCTTTGACTGATTAGGCCTACAGTCAAAAGGGACCACAGGTGATTATGAGACGCTGTGTGCGTACTAGTGATCTAATTCAGTCAGAGCTGAAGATAGAATCAGCAATAATAGCAACAAGCTAACAGGAAGCTCGGGGAACGACGTGTTATGGACAAATGTAGTCTCTCTGAGCTTTGTTCTAACACACTACAAAGAAATAATTACGTAAACAACAAAGGTTACCTTTTAGATCGACATCCAGCCACAGTAGGTTATGAGGTGAGGGTGTTCCTGGCCTTTAGTGCTAATGATAAGTGTGTTTAATTTAATGCTACAAACAGACAGCTGGTGCAAAAATAAAAACAGACTAACCCAGAAAACCTTACTCAGGATAAAGCCATAAAACACATGGGTGAGCACGTGTGGGATGTTTAGAGAGATTTAGTTCAACAGAGACAGATTTTAACCTTAAGGATCAAATCACCAGAGCCGTAGCTCAATTTGTTTTTTTTTTAAATAAAGGGGTCACAAGTCCCTTAGCTGCAGCTACAACCCACTCACACACTTCTGTAATAAGGATGGGATGTTTATGTACTCTCAAATGCTCTCATCTGGTCTTAGACAACCTATTTGATCATAATATCGCTTTCTCAAAGAGTACTCCAAATCTACAAATGTCAATTGACGGTGTGGACACCACTTCTAAGAAGCACCCCTGCAAAAAATATCTTAACAGTGCAGTCAAAGAGGTGATACAATATTAAATCATCAATAAAAAACACCAAAAACAAACAAACCAATCAGTTTTCGGAGGAGGGGTTCCATAGTGGCTTAAAGGTAATTTCAAGATCTAGGACAACAACAATCTAGGACTATAACCCAGGCATAAAAAACACAATTTAAATAATAACATCTTGCTTGGAATTATAAACCTGATTTATTTATTTATTTTCTCGGGCTGATGGTGACATTTTAAAATTTTAAAAGATGTGTGTTAAATAAACCTCTCATGTGTTTTTAAAACCAATAACTCCCCAGAAAAGCTATGAAGATTTCAATGAATGACACATTATTATTTAATAACCAAACACAGTACAAAATGCAGTTTATGTTTATTATTTTGTGTTGTAGATGTTGTATTAAGTGTGCTGGATAAATGCTGTTCACTGCAGCTGGATTATATTTCTACAAAACTGATAGTGCATAAGGGTTTTTTGGAAGTGATGGATAATGCTTGAAGAGTACTTTCTCGCACATAAAAATGATAATCTGTTAGAGTGGTGAATATCCAATCCTCAACTACAATTTGGGAAAGAAAAAACATAAACAAGACAGACTTTGCTGAGTGAACGTTGAAGCTCGGAGGTCAGCTGAGGAATCGAATGTTGCATAAAGTTTGAAGTAAATGATTAACTTTGTATTGATAAAAAAGAGAGTAGTTTATGTTAAGCAATATCTTAATAATGATCTTCTTCTCATGCCTATATGTAAGGGTCAGCCCAGGTCAAAAGGTTAATCCATTTATCAGAAAAGAAAACAAAGTTCAAAATGAATCTAACTTTAAACATCACACTTAAAGTCCACAGGTCAGTTTAGAGGAAGCAGACATGTCACATGACAAAAACAAAGACATGACATAACCCTGCACATGTCTGCTCATGTTTTTCCTTCACCAAACATTAGCTGATACTTTGATTTTTAAAATAATCACAAATGACGGTAAACATGTTTTCTGTTGATTTTTCGATAGATGTATTTTTTTAAAGGACTGTTACAAATAATACTCTGGATAAGATATTTATGTCACTTGCCCTTTCACGACCTTTCTCCTTTCTAATTTATAAATCGTCTCTCTATTGTCTTCCACTGTGAGGACAAGGCACCGTCTATATCTGAAGACAAAGCTAATACTTTGAACTCGTGTGTACAGACACTGCCAAGTTAGAATGATTGAGTCAGCAGAGATTATCCAGGTTATCACATCTCTGCCTCGCTCATATATTTGTGTATATATAAAAGAATAAGTGTACTACTGTATATGGATATGGTTTGAGACCATGCGATATAAAGTGTTTATATGATGGCTGCCGCTGTGCCAACTCTCTGTCATTAGTGAAATTGGGCAGTTATTTCCTGTGGTGTGTTAATCCTCTGCTTGGTGTATTAATGTTGCCATTTCTGCATCAAATTATTCAACAGACTGGAAACACCCCTCTGCTGTCTCTGTAATCATCCTAAGTGTTGATATCAACAAAGATTAAAAATGTGTTCTCTTGGCTGTGGTTGCAAAACATACAGTAAAAACATATGTACCTTTAGTGCAGGAAAAAGTCATATTAGGTGGAAAGAGTTTATTAATAAATAAATGTGTGTTGTTCAGTAGAGTACAGTATCTGAATGCATGTGCAATGTACATGTGGGATATGATGATGAGAGTGTAATATTCATAATAAAATAGTATTTAACTAGTAAAAACTGTGAAGAAAAAAATAATTTGACAAATCTATTAAGACCTATACAAATTTACTTTCTGTGGGCTTTAAACAGTGACAAAAAAGTATACTTTATAAGGATTTCTAAATTGAAAAGTGAAACATTAAGGTTAAAATATTAGGAATATCAATACAGAGAACTTGTGAAGAGTCCCCCTCACCACAAGTTCTGCACAAGAAAAGGATTTTATTCCTCAGATTTATTGGTCGTTGATTAGAGTCACTGAAATGATGCCAGTCCTGTTTTGAAGTTTGTTGTTTCTCAGTAGATCGTGAACATGCAGGTCTCTACCGCCCTCTACTGGTAAGAAAATGTAGCTAAGGAAAGAAATTACAATTAAATAATTGTAAACAGTCCAGTAGGCCTTGAAAGCCAAAAATAAGAAGTTTCTAAAATAAAAAATAAAAAAATAATAGTTGATGCATAGAACTTAAATTTTAAATTGAAAATTGAGAAAAGAATAATAATAAATAGTCTAAAAGTAAGAAAGAATGCCTAAACGAAAATGACTATGTGAACAGGATGAACATTAATGACGTCAAACAATAATTATTGTGTAACTTCTGTAACTGGACCATTTCAGTTGGAATAGTTCTCACGGTGTTTTTGTGGCTGTTGCATGTACTGGAAGATTTTCACCACAGGGTGTCGCCAGTGTCCTGTATTCAGTTCCACATATTCCGTGGGCTTCTCGCACCGCTCCATCTCAGGACGTCAGAGCTGTGGGTAAAGGTTTTGAAATGATTCATTGTGTGATTGACATCATTTGTTTCCCAGGGAGTATTTTTTAATGTTAAGGGAGATAAAGACTCCTCTCAGGTCTCATGTCTCGTTTCTCATGTGTGTCTTTAGTGATGGGAGCTGTCCAGTAGTGATGTGGTCCTGAAATCTGTTCAACTCTTGCGGCTCAGGGTCCTTCATCGGTACTTACACATTTTAAAAGCTTTTTTTTCTTTTTAACTTTAAGTGTTTTTGAATTTTGTCACAATTGTTCAACTATTTGAACGTATAAATCCTCTGAGCCCGAAGTCTGATGAAATATGCCCACTGCTAAAGTACCTACTTACTCTTTCTAGTATTTTTGCCAAATATTATGATTTATATTTGATAAAAAATTTTTTAGTAACGGTGTATTGATGCAGATATTTCAGCTTTGGATGTGCGTAAATGGCTGTGAGTTTGTACATAGGATCACTGGAGAATAACAACACAGAACACAGTCACACACTGTATCTGAAGAATAAGAAAGCTTTTTTTTCTCTTCCAGACTCTTGTATAGGGCTCGTGCTGTGGTGCTCTCTGGCTCTTATTGGTTGAAATGATTGCTGCCATGGTTGGAAAATTAACATAAAAGAGGCAAGTGGCGAAGGGATCCACTTGGGGGCAAGCTGGTGATGCGTCACAGTTCTTGGTGAATAGAGGAGACAAAAAAGGGACTAAAATAGCTCCCAACCTGCGGGTTAATGTGCACCAATGGCCACGAAGCTACTCGTGGTCTCGGAACTGAGCGCAAAAGTGCCACAGGTGACGGGATGCATGGACACACAGATGAGAGGGATTGCGCGTCGTAGATGTTGCAAATAAGTAACAAAAATCGCTCCAAACAAAAGTTTGAAATGTAAGATTTCACGATTTGAAGCCTCTTTCTGCACGGTGTAGAAACTCTCCGCTTTCATCACGTCACTTCTCGGGAGATCATGAAACAGTGTCGGGATGTGGCTCAGGCGAGGACAAGTTGAGGAAGCTGAGGAAAGAAATCTTCACCAATTAGGCAGCCAAGTTCCTCTTCTTCGCCGCTCCCTTTACGCACAGGCAAGGTGAGGACGGAGAGCATCACGTCAATGTAAGGACGCACCAATGAGTCATCGGAGGTGCTGAGAGAGCGGCAGCACACAGGACAAGCACAAGGACCATTTTTTTTAATCGTGAAACTTTTTATTTTTTTTTCAAAACAGAAGCACACCATGGATGAAGAAGGGGGATCATCTGGACTGGTCAAATCAGCCGCAGTTAAACTGTCCAAGATGGGTGAGAAAACCAAACAGTTAGGTACAGCCATTAAGGATCCTCACCAGCAGAGACGGATCATATTAGTGATTGTTTGCGTTGCTCTCCTGCTGGACAATATGCTCTACATGGTAATCGTGCCAATTATCCCGGACTATCTTGCAGAGCTGGAGAGTGAGCAGTCAGAGCACGTCCACGTAGTGATGCACCCCAACTCTTCAGTCAACAGCACAAGCCAAGACAAAAGCAACAAGAACAATTTAGATATCCAGATAGGAGTACTTTTTGCGTCCAAAGCCATCCTGCAGCTCTTAGTAAACCCGCTTTCGGGGACTTTCATAGACCGTGTTGGATATGACATTCCACTTTTAATTGGACTCTCTGTTATGTTCTTCTCGACCTGCATTTTTGCGATTGGTGAGAACTATGCCACGTTGTTTTTCGCCAGAAGTTTGCAGGGTCTGGGGTCGGCGTTCGCGGACACCTCCGGGATCGCCATGATAGCTGACAAGTACACAGAGGAGGCGGAGAGGAGCAAAGCGCTCGGGATCGCCCTGGCGTTCATCTCATTCGGGAGTCTGGTGGCGCCTCCTTTCGGGGGAGTCCTGTACGAGTTCGCGGGGAAGAAAGTTCCCTTTATCGTGCTCGCGATCATCTGCCTGGCGGACGGCATCCTGCTGCTCACAGTCATCAAGCCGTTCTCCAACAGGACTAGAGAGAACATGCCAGTCGGCACCCCCATATACAAACTCATGATCGACCCGTACATCGCTGTGGTGGCCGGGGCGCTCACAGTTTGCAACATTCCCCTGGCTTTTCTGGAGCCCACCATTGCCAACTGGATGGAGTCCACCATGCACTCCTCTCAGTGGGAGATGGGGCTCACGTGGCTGCCGGCCTTCTTCCCGCATGTCCTCGGTGTGTACTTAACTGTCAAATTAGCAGCAAAGCATCCAAACTTGCAGTGGTTCTACGGAGCTGTGGGCATGGTTATCATAGGCGCGAGCTCCTGCACAGTCCCCGCATGCAAAACTTTTGGGCAGCTCATTGCGCCTTTGTGCGGCATCTGTTTCGGCATTGCGCTTGTAGACACGGCGCTGCTACCCACTCTCGCCTTTTTAGTCGACGTTCGTCATGTTTCAGTGTATGGAAGTGTTTACGCTTTAGCAGATATCTCTTATTCTGTAGCATACGCCATGGGTCCGATAGTAGCCGGACAGATCGTACACAATCACGGCTTTGTACAGCTCAATCTGGGGATGGGTCTTGTTAATGTGCTTTACGCGCCAGCTCTGCTGCTGCTGCGCAACGTGTGCCAAATGAAACCGTCCTACTCCGAGAGAGATAACCTGTTAGAGGAGGCTCCACAGGGGCTATACGATACTATCAGGATGGAGGAGAGGAGGGCGAAAAAGAAGGGCTACAGTACCGCAGGGAATTGTTTGTCAGTAGATGAAAACGGGTTCGATCCATTCAAAGCACAGCGGTCTTTGTCAGAAGAGTCGTCCGGTCCGGAATACACCTAGACCGGCCACGCTCTGACTCTGACCACTCCCCGCCTTGTATGAAACATTCCCCCTGGAGAGATTTAAACAGGCAGATTATAGTCAAGTAACTTAAAGTTTTCTGTAAGTACCGATGTGCAATATAAACACCCTATCACCAAAATCACGACTGTGTGAGACGTAAAACGTTTTTTTTGTTTGTTTTTTTACTGTGATTTAATTGTGTCCAAAAAGTATGTGTAGTTTGTCATGGACGTGTAACTGGAGTTTTGTGAGAGCTCTATCAGCTACTGTCGACTCTTAATGTTATACTGACTATTGTAAAAAGATATAGATTCATGCGCGAACAATAGTATATGGGACCAACTTTAAGCAGCACACCCCCCCCCCCCCTTACACAAAAAAATAGCCTCTATTTTTAGTCTCTGAGGAAACTTTTTTTACTTGCACATCAAAGGCCTGATTTTCTTCTTCTTTTGTTATAATGGTGATTTTAAACTTTGCAACAAGTGGGCCTGTTAATTGTAAATTTTATTTTTCTGTTGTTTGAAATTAAATGTATCATTAAAAAATAGATTTTGTAAATATGTGGATATATGCACAATGTAAATTGTCAAATCATAACGTGGACCTCTACAACAGTGTGTGTGTGTGTGTGTGTGTGTGTGTGTGTGTGTGTGTGTGTGTGTGTGTGCGTGTGTGTGTGTGAGAGTGTGTGCGTGTGTGTGTGTGTGTATTTATGTTTGTACGCGTGTGTACGTATGAAACATTGTCAAGATGTAGCAAATAAAGTGTCCTGAAAATGAACAAATATGTATTCATTTATCAACTGTTGTTTTAATAAATCTGTTTGGATCTGTGTGACTGCGCTGGTTTTCCTCTTTTTTTCTTGCCTCAAACGAATTTTATTATATACATTTTTAAGAAATGTATTATATTAAGATGTAATATTTCAATCCTGGAAGTTACACAATCCCATTACAAAATGAACATTTTATTCAGATGACGTAGCTTATGAATGTTGAACAGTTTTTAAATTTAGGCTGTAGTGACAAGACAAACAAGTCAAACAAAGCGCACATTAGACAAAATACGAATAAAAGAAATTGATTAATTAACAGCTATAAATGTGTAACAACCCTTAAATTATGGTATCAGCTGCAAACTGTATTTTTCGGCACGAGCGCACCCGAGGTGTTTAAAGTGAAAAAACTCTTCAGAAAAAGTAAATGTGAGAGACGAAAACGAACCACGACTGTCCTCTCTGTCGAGCCTCACGAGCATCACCAAACCCATGAATGACACAACTACAACAACAAAAAAGACTCTCACTCCTTTTTAAATTATTATCGGATGTGGGCAGGGGGCTGAAGCAAGCAGTTAGATAATATGTTCCGCGAATAGATTTCGATGGGAGGAGTTTCTTGCCTGGGGGGGGGGGGGGGGGTAGGTAGACGCAAACACCTTCAGCATCTTTTCTTGGGTGCGCTTTAATGTGGAGTCACAGCCTTATGGCGCTGCAAGGGGAAGGGGGAGCAGCCACTCGCCCGCACCGAGCTGAACACTAATATGGGATTTCCCGGTGTGGACGTGGGAGGCAATGTGAACATCGAGAAAACACTTCTCTGACCTCCTGATTGGCGTTCTGACCAGGTAAGACAACTTTTTTTTACACCTATTAGTCATTTACAATAACTTATTCACAAGTTGTTTCACCTGCAAGAGCCTGGCTTAAAAAGCGAGGACGACTTTTCTTCTTTAAAAGTCATTCAAGATGCACAAAAGTCCACTTTGGGCTCTAATCTTAAAATGTTTACAGTCTTTAATCCTTTCAATTCTTTTCAATTAAACGAACTTGCATTTTTCACTGTGAACATTCATACAATGTTTTTGACATTGCAGCCTACTATTTCCGGTTCTTTTTTTTTTTTAAGTAGTTTTACAATTATTTATTCCATGAAAATGAAGCTCTTAAGACAGAAATGGAGATGAAGTGAGGTTTTGTGGATGCACGTCTCTGTGCAGAGGTGAGCGATGAGGCGCAGCTGGAATTCAAGGACATGCAGCAAATTGCATTTGGCAAAAATAATGAAGAATGAAGCCCGCTTCACTTTTGGACAGAGCGATGTGCTACTGAGCCTAATTTTATTTACAGTTTTTTCTTTACCCCTGAAATGTCTCGTTGCAGGTAAGGCTGGACTCCGACCGTCTGTAGGAGGTTTCCACTTTATTTAACTGAAAAGGACTGGAGTGCAAAGATGCCAATCATGGAGAAAAAGACGGCCAGAGACAGTGAAGTAAGGAAACAAATCATACTGTCTTCCCACTTCTGTGTTCATTCACTTCTTAACGCTGAGCGGGGTCGCTGTCCATGGTGCTGAAGTTGGCAAACAAATTACGCTGGATTTCAGCACCACGGACAGCGGCAGCTACACCTACGATGACTGACCGCTAGGGGTGAAAGTGACAGGAGGCCTATTTATTTCCCTGAAGTGACAAGAAAAATATCATTACAAATTCTGACAAATCAAAAGAACTTAATAATCGTTGTTGTTGTTAAGGGATTACATAAACAGTTGTGTGGTTGTTGATAATATCATGATGGATAATGCAGTATCATACTTGTAATTGTTTTTTGTTTTTTTTAAGGGACACATTTTATCACTTGTGAAAAAAGAAAATACATCTTCAAAGTCCCTGTTTCCAGGAATTCACAGATATACAACTTATTTTACACTTCCGATATCCTGGTCAATTTGATCATCTTGGGTTACTAACAGTATTATGCAAATGATCTCACATCAGAAAGAAAAAGTCATCAATTTGCATTTTCTGTCTTTAAAAAAACAAGTGTGTTTTGAAATCCCACAAGACAGCGGGACTTGGAAACACTCGAAGCACTGAGGATGAATTATTAAATCAGGTTCTAATAATAAAATCATAAAGAAAGATGTGAGGGAATTGCCCCTTTAACTAATGAACTCTCCGTGAATCATGGGAAAGGCTTGCAGCTGTTCTTCATCACTCATTATGACCGGCATGTTATTTATTATGACATCAGGTGCTCCCAAAGGTGCCCGTGCCGCCGCTGAAACAAACCCTTGACACGTACCTGAAGTGCGTCCAGCACCTGGTGAAGGACGAGCAGTTTAAGAAGACGAAGGCAATCGTGGAGAAGTTTGGTGCTCCTGGAGGAGTCGGAGAGATTCTGCAGAAGAAGCTTCTGGAGAGAAGCGACAAGACGAACAACTGGGTAAAATCTCAGACCTTCAGTATAAACAAACACAGCGGCACTTTTCTGCAGGTGTATGAACTGTAAAAGGGGGAAAAAGGACAAGAACAATCCTATCACTCCCCACACTCCACCCGTGTATCAATAAGATTTTTATTCTTATTTTATTAGCCCATAAAAGTACAAAGTGTGTTTTTTATTAGAAAATTGTAATTTAAAGTAATTGCTATGCAATTAATGTTCAGCAATTATTCTTGTTCTTATCATTCCTCCTGATTAAACATTTTATACCTCATACAGATTTACACAGCATCAGTTTTTTGTAATAATTACAGTAGATAATAAATGCTGCATCTGCTTCATTTTAGTTTATAAATTAAAAGAAAATTGTAAACCCAGAGTTGAAAAGAGGTAAACTCCTGGCAATGAGGATTTATTGGCGCCTCTTGCTTGTGCTTTTTTCCCCCTTCAATCTCCTCCTCCTGCATCTGGCTGATCGCTCAGTCCACTACTCATCCAGCTCAGTGAAATCTATCACGCTCCCACTCTCTCTGCTTTCATGTGGCAGTGACACACTGTAATGGTTTTTTACACCACTGCACACAGGTCTCCTCTCTGAGTGTAATAACTCTGAGTCCAGATAGCTTAATGAAGCAACATTTGTCAAAAAGTCTCTCTCTTTTTGTTTAGGTGTATGAGTACTGGCTTGAGGACATGTACCTAAACAACAGGTTGGCTCTACCTGTTAACTCCAGTCCCGTCATGGTGTTTCCTCAGCAGACGTTTAGAGATCACAAAGATGCTCTCAGGTATGTAGGGGGCTTTTGGTTCCTACTGTTCCATTTGTAAAAAAAAAAAGTTTCACTTTCTAAACTACTGCTTCCTGTAGAGGTCATCAAAAATGGCAATCGAAAATTAATTCTTAGCTATAATCACAGAAGAAAATTAATTATAATATGGGAGTATCTGCAGTAGTCCGCAAACTAGCTTTATAGCAGAAAATATGATACGTTAGGGTTTTGTTTTGATTCACTCAAAGTTGGCTCGCTGCTTGTTTCGTCCAACCTACAGTCCAAAACCCAATCAAACTGAAATTTTAGTTACATAAGACAAAGAAGATGCAACTCTTAAAAATGTATAACCCCACAAATTGCGATGTAGAATATTATTAAAATAATGAAAGGATTGTGTCAGTCAAAGAAATTGAATAGTTCATGCCTGTTTGTTCCCGAATAGTGTTCCTCTGCAGAAACTAACATGACAAAACGTCATATCACACAACAATACCTAGTGTGCACTAAACATCAGAGATTGATGTTTGGAGATTGCCTAAGATTATCTGAGGGTCAACGTTTTCAAAGGCAATTGAAGTAGAATGGGAGCCGAGGCTTTCATTGCTACGAAAACAAAGTGTGCAGTATATCACTCACTTCTGTAGTCACTTACATGCTTAATGTTCATATTCTCAGCAGTCTTCTGATTAAGATCGGACTAACAGACATGGACAAAATCACAGGCATCATCTCTTGGTCAAATCTCGGCCTGTTATTAAATGAGTCTGTGAGCTCCTCCAGACATTTCACCGGTCCCTCCAAACCCTCTAACTCAACATTAGCTTTTGTCAGCTCGTGCCGCACTAACTGAATATTTCCAGAGCACTGCAGCAAGGGAGCTGGTTATCTACTGACACGGACACTTATTAGATTGGGAGTGACAGGACCAAGCTCTCCGCAGAGACTGCTAGTCAGGCCGCATTTAGGGGTGTGGTGCTCCGCGGCCGCCTCCTCTGTATTGATCTGGCTTTGGACGTAATAACATGGAGACAAATGACACACAGCATGAGATCTGACAGGCCTCTGTGTTTTCCCTGTATGCCCTCACCGCCCACTCAGACCGGCTCTCTCTGTCTCTCTCACTAACACAGATAAACACACACCGCTCGCCCACTGTATCCCAGTAATTAACTATAATGTGATTACAGTTAGAGAGCTGAGAGTATATCTAATCATAATTACCTGCTTTTTGTTGTGTACTTGATACTCTTTTAAGATTTGCTGCTCGTCTCATCCAAGGAGTGTTGGACTATAAGGCTCTCATTGATGCGTAAGTTGGATCATAAATAAGTTGAATAGAAAGTGAGAAAGTGAGAATCCTCAGAGGTAATTTGAAATGTGTAACAATGTCTCCAAGGCGTGCCCTACCGGTGGATTTTGCTCGAGGCCAGCTTGCCGGGACCCCGCTGTGCATGGAGCAGTACTACCGCCTCTTCACCTCGTACCGCTACCCGGGTCTGAAGACAGACACGCTGAAGGTCCACATGAACGCAGCCTCCTCAACGCCAGAGCACATCATTGTGGCATGCAAGAATCAGGTCAGGACACAGGACTGTGAGGACACTTTTCACACTTCCTCACACTTCTAGCAATAGACAGAGTCCTGATCATTTCAGAAAAATATCAAGTGGGTGAAAGGATGTTTTATTAGTAACACACCCTTTAAAAAACATTGACAAACATTTGCTGACAAGTGAGAGTTGTTTGTCAAATAGGGGGGTTGTGTGCCTTTGTCTTCTCATTGTCTTACAACCAGGATGTAGTGGATTCACCACTAAATGTACCATTATATATAGTACCACTTTTTTGAATGTACAAAAAAAAATCCTCCACTTAATAAACCTCAGCAGTGTTCAATACATGGCTTGTTTTCCAGTAACAGCCAGGAGGAACATTTAAGCATTTAACTTTCATAAAAATGCTTAATTACAAACTTCTCTCAAAGGACCTCAGGAGGATGAGTCTGCCTACATTAAATCAATAAGCAGTTACTCAAAAACAAACTGATGCAGTCAGTTTGAAAATAAAAGGGAGCAAAGTGAATTATAAAAAATGTTCCTCATTGGAAAAGTACAGGACAATGGGTTTACATAAACCAAACTATGTATTCCATAACATCTTCAACCTTTGTATTGGGCAGGCTGAACATCACCAGTCTCATAAATGGGTAATCATTCGATTATATTTATAAATGACATTCCTGAATGGATAAGAAAGCCTCGCCATGCACTGCTGCCTTTTATACTTCCAGTTTGAAAATGACTGAGCCTTTTTTACGTCAGATAGCATTGTGCTCCTCAATCCTAATCCTAATCCCTATTCATGTGTGACTTTTTACAGTTTCAGATTTTGATGATCATTTAATGATGTGCATCAATGTGGAGCATATACAGGAAGTTGTCCTCAGTTACAGTCAGAGTTCCTCTACCCCCATCTGGAAATGTTCTCAAACTTTTTCTGTCATGCCCCCTCATTGGAGGAGGAGAAAGTTTTGCGCCCCTACCCGAACAGAATGGTAACTAAAAAGCTGAATTAAAATTAACTTAAACATCTTTAACTTCAAGTAGGACAACAGAGTGGTAACATTTAAATCGTTCATGCTTATTCTTTTGGGCGCTCAAAAGATTTGTGGTCAAAGTAACAATTTAAAGTTCTAACAAAAGGAAATTTACCACAGTGAAATGTAAAGAAAGCACCTGGCAGCCTGTTTCAACAAGCCCCTGACAAGGCGAATAGTCAGTCATAGTTTCAGTTTTGGCTTGGCACCTGGAGTGGCCCGTCAGATCTCAAATCGGGCCCAGGCAACCCATTCTGCCACGCCGCTGCCCAGCCTCCCGGGGACCCCCATTTCATTTAGAAACGCCCCTTTAGGGTCTTACCCCACAGATTCAGAAGCACTGGTGTAAATAAAATGCCTCTCCTCTGCTTTTTATCCTTATGAACCAAATCTGACAGTATGGCTGGCAAATTGAAGTTTTAGGAAAAAGGTGAAAAAAAAAGTACATGTTCGAAATAAATCAACCACCGATCAAAGGTTCTCATACACTTTGTCCATTTTACCAGATGGACTATTGATTTTTTAAAAAGCAGTTTTATGGCTGTGTAGTTATATATTGTTGAGTTATGTTTCCAGTCCCCTGTCCCAAACCATCCTGTCTGTGATCATTTATTGTATGTGTAACGTAACCTTCAAGAAGTCTTCAAGTCCTGATTGATAAGCCTCTAGAGATATTCCCAAAAAGGCAACAACACCTGCAGGTCTGCAGTCTGAGGCTATTTGGATTACATTTAGTTCACGGATTGTGCCTTTAAATGACCACAGAAATGGAAAAGCAGGAGCTCTCACCTGCAAATGGTTCTGCGAACTATCACTCTGGGGCTCATGAGTGTCTGTCCCTATGGAGATAAAGGCTGTTAACTTCATTACTGCTGATTGAATCTGCCTCTTTGCTTCCTAGAGATCAGTGTTCTGATCAGGATGAGCCATATTTTAGATAGGAATAGACTTATTTAGTCCCTAACTACTGTTTAAATAGTAACTATAAGTGCAGACATACGGACAATATAAGGAAGCAAGGACCTCTTTCTAAGTATTTTACATATGAGATGGGATAATTGACAAGTGTATCATTCTGTCTTCTATTTTTCCTCCGTAGTTTTTTGTGCTGGATGTTGCCCCAAACAACAAGCAGCTCAATGAGACAGAGATCTTTTCCCAACTGGAGAAAATCATGAAAATGGCAGAAAACACTGAAGAGAGACTCCCTCCTCTTGGTGTCCTGACTTCTGATGGAAGAACAGAATGGGCTCAAGCCAGAGATGTTCTCACAAAAGGTCTCAGCTTTAACATTCACATACATTTTTTTTTTTTTTTTATAACTTTGTGAAGTTTTGTATCAAGAAGTTTAGAAACAAACTGATAAATATCTCACCCATGTCCAGATCAAACCAACAGGGACTCTCTGGCCCTGATGGAGAGCTGTGTGTGCGTGGTGTGTCTGGATGAGCCCTGTGGTCTCCAGCCGAGGGACACCAACAGGGCTCTGATGATGCTGCACGGCGGCGGGCGTGAGAAGAACGGGGCCAACCGCTGGTATGACAAGTCAATGCAGGTATAGGACAACCTTCAAGAATCCTCTCTCTTTCTTGACTGTTGAGTTTGGTTCCGCTGGCTAATCCCACTTCTCGCAGTTTGTTGTAGGAATGGACGGGTTTTGTGGAGTTGTGTGTGATCATTCCCCATTTGAAGGAATAGTTCTGGTGCAGTGCTCTGAATACGTGATGAAATACATGTAAGTCAGCTCACTGAGACTCTCTCTCTCTCTTTGGACTCAATCAAATGTTTATTCCATTTTGTCTGGGCCTCATTAAAAACAAATTGTTGTAATATCACAACACTGCATGTTCATTGTTTCATCATTTCATTGCAGTTTCACAAGCTCCTCAATAAGCCAGTCCATGCAATAGGGTCTTACAAACTCAAAAGACAAATAACACATTTATCTGTGGAAGTTTTGATCAACCTCAAGATGATTGTTAAGTGTTATAGCAACAACTTGGTAAAACTTTTAAGAAATTGAAAAGGAGTGTTCATTTGCGATTTTTAAGTGGTTTTCCCAAAGGGTCTTTGCTCTTAGTTTTAATTCTAATTCTAATTTTAACTCATCTTGTTTTTCGTCTTACCCTGCCTTGGCCTTAGTTTTGACTTGGTCTTAGTCCCTGAACATGAGTATTGTCTTTTTACCTGCTATTTTGTAGTATTAAATAACATTGAGTAAGGTCTTATACCTGCTTTTTGGAAAGCGTCTCAAGATAACACACACACGGTTTTGACGGCTAGTCTACTAATTACTGTTGTCTCAATGATTGCTGCTGACACCAACATGTTGTTGTTGTTGCCCTGAACAGAACAGGGAGTCCCACCAAGACAGCAAAGGCGTCCACCGCCAGAGAGCTTCTTCGTCCAAGAAAGCTGCTCTGGAAATGTAACGCACACATCCATGGACTGCTAACATCCTCTGGAGACAGACTTCAGAAGTATGACCATCCATACAAGCATATCAAGTAACAATTCTGGCTTACTTTGGACGTCAAGTCTCGTAACTTTAGCACTTTCTCCTTCAGGCTGGTGGATAATCTCGACATGGATGTTTTCAAGTTCAAGGCTTACGGGAAAGAATTCATCAAGAAGCAGAAGATGAGTCCAGATGCGTTCATACAAGTCGCCTTGCAGCTTGCATTTTTCAAGTAAAGAATTCATTAATGGTCTGAATCATCACGACTGGTCATTCATATAGTGCTTTCAAATGTGCTGATATTGCTGTGATTATGTCTTTCATAGATGCACTGGGAGGCTCGTGTCCACTTATGAGAGCGCGTCCATTCGGCGTTTCCAAGAGGGTCGGGTTGATAACATTCGCTCAGCCACCCCCGAGGCCCTGGCTTTTGTTAAGTCCATGACAGATGAGAGGGTCACTTACACGGTGAGTCATTTTTCTCACTTTGACCACAATTACTGAGTAACTCCCACATCAGGCAGAGTAAATGGAACAGGTGTGAGGAGCCACCAAACCTGGTGCTCCCATACAAGCAGATGATCTCCCTGCAGATTTACCATGTCTTAGGAAAGTGGATTTATTGGCTGTGCTGAACTCTTTAAGCGCGTGATGAAAAATGATCCAACAAAATGTTTCTTCACTTCTCCAACAGGATTCAGAAAAAAGTAAGCGACTAAGGGATGCAATCAACGCCCAGACAAGTTATACAATTGCAGTAAGTATTTAAATGTTTATAATGAACTACTTTGCATGGTGTTTAAACGTTGTTTCACCCAAAAATCTGCAAAACACTTACTCACTAGAGACATAAAGTGCATGGTTAATATAAAGCTCCAATCTGAGACATTTCGCTTGGCTCATCGAAGACTGACAGCAGGAGGAAGAAGGTAGGCTCAATCCAACAGGGGAAAACATAAAAGCCTCGCAACCAGCTTTTTTCAGGATGTTTTGGCTTGACCAGTGACTCGGTGGGAGTCTTGCCCTCCCAGTAACGTTTTCAGGCATCCAATGGAGACACCCAATACTCACAGCGTCTATAGCCAAGAAATAGTCAGGCACTTAATCTCAACTCCCACCATTAACCACAACATGTGGAGGTTACACTTCAGTTTGTGTACACAATAAACAAACAAGGTGTGAAATGTTAAGTGAGCAGCATATATCAGGAAAATACTACTCAGCCTGCCTTTAAAACTTTCGATATGAGAGCGGTATCAAGGAACAAAGTACATTTGTTGCACAAGGTTTTCACATCATCCTTACAGAGCGTAGATCAGCCACCATGAAATTATATTTGTTGCAGAAGATTCCAATTTTGATCATTTAAATGGAAAAAATTAAAGAGTTTAAGCAAAAAAAAAAAAAAAAAGTAAATTAGAAGTTATTGTCCAAAATCCCTTTAATGAACAATCACAGAGGGTGGTGTATTTCTTCATTCTAAAATGTGATACATCTCTATAATATCAGGGACATGGTGAAAAACTATTGCACAGAAAAGCACAGAGCCGGTCATCATTGCTTACACAGAGGCTGTAATCGGAGACAATTTCTTATCTCTAACCAACATATTCTTATCTTAAAGGCTATCACAGGAATGGCAATAGACAATCATCTCCTTGGACTTCTGAGGATCTCAAAGGAGCTCAAGTTGGAGAAACCAGAGATTTTCTGTGATGAGACGTATGTGTCCAGTAACCACTTCATCCTCTCTACCAGTCAGGTAACATTGGAAACCTTTCTTAAATGTTCCTGTTGATAGTTACTCTAAGGTTAATTATTCACAATGGACAGGGAGTCCAGAACATACAGATCATAACCGCTGAGTCGTGGAGTTCTGCGTTGGTACTGGCTCAGCATGGCGATACTAAAAGAAAATACTCAGGCTTAATCTGATATTTGTGCTGCTTTTACACAATTTATTTTGATCTGTGACAGAAATAATTACAAACTACATTCTTACTAGAGCCTTGTTTAGTTAAGAAATATTGTTTTTAAGTTTGTCAAACGATTAATATTTTAAAATGTAATTGTGATCTCATTTTAACCACGTGTTAGAAATTCCATCTTTTTGCATTTCAAAATAAAAATTGTTAGGCTTTTATTTTGAATCTTAAGCTTTGAGTGTTTCACTTGCTGTTTGAATTCAACCGTGCTTTATTTTCATGAAGTGAGGTCCTCATGGTAGATTGAAGGTTACGACACTAACTTAACCACGGAAAAAGGAACTGGTCACGGATCTCGGCTGAGAGTTTTTTTAAAAAGTGAAATGGGACGTTGAAAGATCCAGCAGTGTCTTTATTTTCCATCAAGGGAGGCACTGCAGAGGCTTACTTTAATTAAATGCGATTAACTAGTTAATGCTGACCATCCCAATATTTTTTTAAAAGCTTTTCTGCTCTTGTAGAACTAGTGCTTTCCTTTACGTGAATGTTGAGATCATACAGCTTCTCTTCAGAGTACACTCTGACCCCAAAAACTATCCACTCTCCAGAAATATGTTTTCACATAAACCAAAACACACATATCATCGAAATGTATTAATTTAAAACAGGTGGTTGTTTTATACTTCAAGATTAAAATAAAGTCCGGCATCATCTGGGTTGAATTGAAGTTAGCAGAAAGCTGTGCAGCAGTAAGAAACCCCAGTTCACCAGGTGTAAGGAGAAGCCTCTCAAAAAGGTTCACTGAACTCTACTGCGGTCTTTCAAACAGGGACCGATAACAGCAAAAGTGCAACACAAAATCACGGGGCTAATTAAAAAATATTTTGTTTATGCTTGTGTTTGGGATCCTCACAGAGGGCCCAGTGCTTCCTGTCTTTGATTTTTAATTAGAAACCCTGCCTGACTCATCATCTGCCCTCAGCATTTATATACTGAGAGCATCCCTTTATTAGCTTTGACTTTCCTGAAAGCACTTGAACCCCACTTATTACAAAGTGCAACGTTTAAGGTGTCTACATAAATAAAGTGTGAAGATAAATATGCTCACTGCAGTATAAATTGACAGCATTGTGATCAGTGGATTGGAAGCTGATTGTATAAGGGATATGTGAAGGATGTGATGTAAAAAGGACGACAAGGAAATCGCAGATTTAGCAACAGATTACAAAGCAACCTCGTGTAAATTTTAGTAGGCGGCTGGCAGGAAATGTTCTCCGATAAAGTTGGGGTGACATTTTTTTCTGTTTACCTTCACACATTCAGTTCACCCTGAAAATGTTTGGACATGTTTGGACATTTTCACGAGTTTGTGTATGGGTGAAGACACAGTACAAATTTAAAGAACACTAGAAGATGATTCAAATTGCTGGTTGCAAATCATAGCTGATTAATCTCTCTCAAATACTGAACATCTTACTGTCTTCACGATAAATTGGTCTAACCAAGACTGTGTCCTCTTGTTTCCAGGTCCCCACCACAGTTGAAATGTTCTGCTGCTACGGCCCGGTTGTACCCAACGGCTACGGCGCCTGTTACAACCCGCAGTCGGACCACATTCTGTTCTGTGTGTCCAGTTTCTGGGAAAACACGGAGACCAGCTCTGCTGTTTTCGTCAAAGCCCTGAACGAGGGCCTGCTGGAAATCAGGGATCTGTGCAATAGAAGCTGTGCTGCTGCTGCTGCTGTTGCTAGCAAACCGGCTGATAGCGGCCAGGGAGCTAGCCAGCCTAAAAAATCAGGGAAGTAAGCCATACTGAGAGAGAAAGCGCTCAGCTGCTCCACTTCACACTCTTTAGACTCAGTGGTCGAGATTGCTTTGTGTGTCTCTGTTGTGTGTGCAGTAGTGTTTATTAAATGACTAAATGCAAAGCCTTAAACGTTCATATGTAAATATCAAAAACTGTGAATGAACACTAGAAAACTCAACATTTATTTTGGATGTGTGTAGACACCAGAATGATTTGGGGTCCAACAGTGACTCTACTTGACCCAGTAGACTGAGATTAACTGGTCTGCTGCCTTTAGGAAACTGAAGCCATGCCTGCTTTGTAGCACTGATGTGAGGAGTAACTCCTTTTAATCAGAGTGTGAATCAACTGAGTGATGTTCATGTAGAACTTACACGTGTAGATTAGTAACAGAAACCTTTAAAACAATATGAGCTTAAGTGTATTAATGTGACTCACAACAATCATGACACCGTGTAAATGTTATCCTGCAAACCTATCCACTGTGTGTGTGTGTGTGTGTGTGTGTGTGTGTGTGTGTGTGTGTGTGTGTGTGTGTGTGTGTGTGTGTGTGCCATGCTAACAACACACTGGATCATGCATATTTTAACATCTATTTCAACATGCAAAAGTGTTTTTTTGTTTTGTTTATTTTGCATCTACTGACATTGTAAGGTTGCCAAAGAGGTTGTCTGTATATGAAATCTGTCTGTGTAGGCACTTTATGATATTTCTGTAAAGAGTAGAATGGATACATGTTAATGTGGCTATATAGTGTGTGCAGAGGGGCACATTAGACATGCACAAGTAGTACTGTGTGTTCTATAAAATAATAGCAATAGTAAAAAAAAACATGTAATGAACAGTGCAATTTTGAAGTAAGTTACTAGTGGTGACCGAGGCATACCACTGTGTTCTTGTGTATATAAGTGCTTTTTACTTGCACTTAGAGGTAGAATAAGGGTACTGTATGGATGTATCGTACACTTTGTGCAATAATCATATTAAAGCAAGTGCAGTGAGGGTATATGTGCAATTAGCCAAATCAGTTTATCAGATGCATGAAGCTTATATATGGTCGCATTGGTTGCTATTTTTGATATTCACTGTGACTTTTTTTTAGTGTGCATTGTGGTTCAAATCTGTGTTGGTCGACAGCAAATCAGATCAGTGATCTTTAGCGATAAATATCTGATGATATGTGTTGTATTGTGTCCATGGTGACCTTTGATGTATAACTTATGATCATCAGTCAGTCTGAACCATGTTATTAATCATTTCAAAATCCATATCAAGAGAAGTCTTTAAGCTGAACACATGCATGTTTAATCTTCCATACTAGCTGTATTTTTATATGTACAAATGAAAAAGTGTTTATAAAGATATATTAAAATATTGGGGTGCAGATAAGTGACAAATATGCCTTAAAATAACAAGATGCAAACTATTTCCTGCCACTTGTAATATTCTATAAATGTTAAATGTTTGACCTCTGATGTAAATTTGCTCAGTTTGTTCCTGATGTTTTCTGTCTAATCTGAGTGGTACGTGTAACCGAATGTAAAGTTTGTCATGTGGTATTCAGAGAGTCTCGTTCATAAACAGTCAGTAATAATCCCTGTGAGTAGGAGCAGCTGTAATAATATATTGTACCACAGCATTGTATTAACATAACCTGAAATATTCATGCAATACGTAGCCTCATAAGGCACATGTTGGAAAAAATAAAAGCATTTGAGTTTGGTTTTTTTCTCACCTGAGCCTTATGGGGTTCCATAGTGTTACATTCATCTATGGTCAAACTTTTAGGAATGGTAAAATATGTGACACTTTATCGACAGGAAGAGTATTGTGTTTTATTGAGTCTTTCAATATCTAATGAATGTTCCATAAATGTTTATCATTTTGAAAAAAGAAAACAAAAGGCTTATTTATTTTTTATAGGCTATACAACAGTATTGTGTGAATAAAAGATTTAAGATGTAATTAAACTGTTGTGTTGAACAACGGGATACTCAATGCCAGAAATCAAATAAACTCAAACTATGACATGAAATGTGTCTGTGTATTTCCTATTCCATTAAAACAGAATTTTGCTCATTTTCTATCATGTATGATTCCCTATTAAGTTTGACGGCATAGTGTGTTATAATGGCTGTAGAAAAAGGATGCAATCCCGGTAAAAATGTAATTTTGTGTTGTGGTCTGGTTGTTTATTAGGTCGGTAAAACATGTTGAGTAAGAGCACGAGGAGCCTTTTAAAAACAAAACATACTTGACAAGTTCTTATTGAAAACAAACTCACAGAACAGATTGAATTCAGTAGGGCCAGAATTGAGTTATAGCAAGAGTTATGAATTCCACATTATTTAGGGGTGTGAAAAAAGGATACCTCATGAATATTGCCTGGTTTTGAATTAGAAGAGATACTGCCTTTAAGTTTGACAAACTGGGTTAGAAGCACAAAGCCATGTGGAATGGGGATGAGACTTACAGCTAAAACAGCCTTTAGGATAAACAACTAGTCCATATGCCGTTGAGACTAGATTTTTCAACTTAAAAATAGTGACCATCATAGTTTTTGTATTAACCATCAGATGTTCAGATGTTGCTTTTTTAGCACTAAAATATCATACTAAAATGGACTGATAAACAGCACTGTTACAGCTGTATGTCGTTCCCTGTGCTGTTTGTCCCTTCTCCCCCCCAGGTGAAGCTACTGATTGCACAACAAGGCGCACCTGGCCTTGGTGCTTAAAAGCCCAGTGCTGGCTTCAGGAGGAGAGGCTGTGGGAGTTGGGACTGCAGGACCCTTTCTGAATTGTCACAGTTCAGTATGCAGTATGTACTATTCAGTATGGAGTTTCAGTATACTGAACTTTCGTGGTCATTCAGTATGCATTTTTTGGCTCCACCTCAGTATACTGAACATTTCAGTATGGATACTAACTTCCGGGTTTCATGCAGTATGGATCGGATGCGTGCTTTCAGGAAATGAATTGTATTTTACCACCCACAATGCTGTGCGAAATTAAACGTAAATCGTCACGTCACGTCCGCCTCCAAATCAAAACAAATGAGCGTGGATTCATTTAATACATTTTTAATCTAGAATTAAAGTCCCGTCTGAAATCACTACTTTAAATTAACAACAGACAATATAACAAATATCTGCATTATTATAAAACCTTTCCCCCCTCTATTTAAATAATGATTTAATTATTTAAATATGTCTTTATTGGTTTATTTTATATTCTCTATCTTATTGTCTTTCATTTGTACTTTTCTACTGTATGTTATTTAGTTATTCAATCTGCCTTTTACTTGATTTACATTGCGATATTGTTTTGTTTACCTGACTGTATATGCGCATTACTCTTCTTGAATAAAGCTAAACAAAAAAAACAAAAAAAACGGGTGAATGCGGCCGGTTCAAGAAACGTAAATGACTTCACTTCCATACTGAATGAATCAGAAGTAGGAACAAATATCTGCCTACTGTGCGTGCATACTGAATAGTAGGTACTAACAGTATACAGCACAGATAGTACGTACTGCCTACTGCCTACTGCCTACTGAAAGATTGAGTATGTACTTGGCAATTCGGATACGGCCCAGGTCTTGAAAAATGAAGCCAATACCGAGTTGCAAAATCCTGCAGTTTGTGGAGCGTCCACTAGAGGCTAGCTCCAGGAACACCCAGTAGTGTAGTGGTGCCTGAAGAAGTGGGCATACTCTTAATTTTTCTTCTCTTAAAGTGTCCCGTCCAGGCGAAATAAACATCCTCTGTTACTAAGAGTGACAAAAGACTCCTCTTGCATATTAAGTTGGTGTGTATAGCTGCGTAAACCTTGCACTACACCTCTGGGAACACCAAAAGTCACATACACATGACTGGCAAAAAAGCTATTTTTACAGCATAACGAAACATGTTTACAGCCTGGTACAAAAAAAACAAAATAGGTCTGGCACACTCTGTATGGGGGGTGATTTCAAGTGGCTCTGTTTTGATTATGAAAACGTTATTCATAGTTAGGCACGTAGCTGACATGATATACAGGTGAGTGTGATGTATGGGTGATTAAGATTTACTTTATTGAGTAAAACTCAGCTTTGGCTCCAAGCCTGTAGTAGAGACAGGATTTCCATCATGGCATACTCCGGAGCCCCCTGCCATAACAGATGGGTGACGTCACTCAGACTTCATCCATTAACATTCACAAGTCTATGGGCGTAACAAGCACAGCTAAATTTGATCCCATTCCTTTGGAAAAAAACGGACAATTTCACTCTTTGTTGAATCAATCATCCAAATGTTGGCATTTACCAAAACTGTTTAATCAATTGTAATTACAATTTCTACTAATCAAAAATACAGTTTTCTATTTCTGTTAAAGGTTTGTTTACCTTTTCCACTAATTGACAGTGAGTAAAATAAATTGTTTGTGTGGCAACATCTTGTTTTGAGGCGGCTTATCTGAACAAAACAAATTTACCCACTTTAATTGCCATTTTGGGACATACAGCTAAACTAATTGTGCTTTCACACATTCAGAAAATTCCTAAAATTTCCTGGATTTTTCTGGGAGAACTGCATTTGTGAATGCAAGCAGCTTTACTTTTCACCCAAACTTTTTCCTACCAGCCCCCTTGTATGTTCTCCCTCCTTGAATGATGGGGAAAACGTCATACTGTGAGAGACAAGTGTGAACAAGCAACTCAGGAAAATGTCAAGGTAAGAGCTCCTGACATTTTCAAGAAATGTTCAGGATTGCATGTGTGAAAACAGCTTAGCATTGTCGTAAAGTACAACCATGATAAACTCTCTAAAGCACAACTGTTATTGAAGAGACAATAGATCTAATATACATGAGATTGACTGTTTGTAGTGATGCCACTTCACTAACACACTACCAACAGATGGCCTCATTTCAGTGGCATCTGATGAGGTCTTTAGGGAGACACCCTAATTTAATTCTCCACTGGTTGAACCACTGAACCAGGTCAACCAAGTGCCCAAAAAACATTAAACATTTAGTCAAGGTTCTTTGAACTAGTCCAATTAAATTTGGCATACAAATTGTGTAAATAACTCATGCAGACTAAACCAAATGGTTTAATTTGTTATTGGCAACAAGAAGGAAACTGTCCAGTTCCTATACACTTTCACTGCGGAACTAAGATTGCAATGTTCACCAAAACAGGACTGTTCTGAATATCAAGAATATCCAACAAGAAGTCCAGGGGGAGACAATTATGTAACCTTCCCTAGGTGTTCATGATTGATCCTGTCTTTATTTGTTGACAGGAAAGAAAACTTCTGTGATTCATCCAATTTCCTTGCAATAACAAAGACATTTAATACTGTTCTACCTCCATATAACATATTGAAAACACCTTTTTCCTCCTTAAATATCAACAAACAGCAGAACCTTGTTTGTAGCACCATAATAATACGCTTCCCTGTGGAGGTAGAGAAGTTTGAAATCCTGATACTTTGACAGCATGTCTGGTCTTGTTTGTTCTTCATCATAACTTGAATAATCGCTTACTGCAGCTATCTCAAATACAAACTCATTTAACAGTTCTAAAACTCCAAGAAATAACTCTTTGTCGAGTACTAGTCATCTGTCGGATATCCATTGGCTACACCAATAGCCCCAACATATCAGCTGTGAGGGGTAATTGATTTGAACTGACAGTCAATGGAGTACAAATTGGTGGGGTCCTGCCCCTAAGGTAGCAATAAAAAAAAATAAAAAATTAAGAAGTCCCTGAAGCTTATCAGAAAACAAACAATGGAAAGTTACATACAATGCAAAACCTGTGAGATTTCACAGCAGGACATTTTTCATATTTTGAAACACAAGTTTGAGAGAATGGATAACACAATGACATTTAAATTATCCACCAGGAACATTTGCTTGACTCTAATTGACTGACCACTGCAGCATGTTGACAGATTACATTATCATGTTCTCTAGCTAAACTTGAGCTGGGTTCAACCTTCATACACCTGCCTCCTTTTGTTTGTCTGGGCTGAATATAATCATTGAAGACTACAGTGGGGAAAACACCTTGCACTGCTGTGCAAGTCACCTCACAGTTCTACCGGCTTTATAGCCACAAGTCTATTGACAGAACATTTAGCTGGATCATATAAAGCCTGTGCTGGCAGCAACCAGTGCTTTCCCTGTGAGAAGAGCAGCAAGTGACAAGCTGTGGTGTTGAGATCAATGGCGGAAGCCCTCCTGGAGATGGATGATGGGAGTACATTACCACTAATAAGTGTCTGCCACGCTGCAGACGGAGACAGAGGCTTACCTGCTGGCTGCTATCGACCTGAGAGGAGAGCAGAGGGGAGCAGAACAGTCTATCCAGATTCCCTCCCCCCTTCTTAGGTGCCTGCCAGAGTCCAAGAGTTATGAAAAGCCACTAAGGCAGGTTCTCTCCTTCCAGAAAGGATGCCAAAAGCAAGGCAGGAGCATGTGTATATGCTCTGATACACATCAACTTGATGCTCAATATGTAGGCCTCTTGGTATGGGTGAGTTAAAAAATGGAAAATGGGTTCAACTGTGGTTTATCTGGCTGCTTTACACTTCTCATCAACGTTCACATTTCTCACACATTCATACACTGAATTGCCATGAATGCCAACTAATCAACTAGTCATTTATCTATACTCATATACTATAGGCCATACTCTCGCATTTGGGGTTCAGTATTCAGAATCCTAAAATG